AACCCTGCAGCATCCCAAACCTTCACCTCTTCAGTTCTACCTTCCAGGCAAATTTGCACAGCAATATTCTCCAATCCCAGATTATTCTAATGACACCGTGGAAGAGCTAAAAATAGCAGAAAGGCATTTTCTGCCTCTCCCAGCAGCCGCTGTCGGGAGCGCGGGGACGGCACCGGCAGTGGGAGCCTCTGAGGTGTTTGCAGGGAGCGTTTGGAGAGTATCACACCTCCCCTTTCCCTTGCCAGCCCTGGATCTTTAAATATCTGGCCCAAATCCACACAAGCCTGTAGCTGTTTAACTCCTTCCTTGCACTCAAATCCAAAGGAAATTGGGCACCTGGATGAGATGGAGGACATGGGGTGGTGGGTGTAAAACACTGAGTGTACCAAACCTGCAGGAGTGACTCAGCCATGGTGTGGGTGGTGGGATCCTCTTGGCTTCCCTGGGGACCTCCTGGCTCCAGTGGGAGTCTTCCAGTTCCTTGAGATTCACAGAGCCAACCTGTCCCATCCCACTTCACTTCCTCTCCTGCCAGGGCTCTTGGATGTCTCAGGGTCTGCATGTGCCAGAAAATGCTGTGGGAAGCAACATCCAAATCCATGCTGCTCTCCCCAAAATGAGCATCCCAAAATTGGAAACAAACACACCAAAATTGTACTCACCCAAAAATGGTGCACTCCCCAAAAAAGTGATGCCCTGCCCCAAAACCAGCCATGCTGGATTTAGCACCTGAACACGTTTGGCAGGGTGAAGCAGCAGCCTGGGGGCAGCTCTTCCGGGTTATTTTTGTTTGTTTTTTTAAATTTAAGGCATCCTATGGGATCCTGCACTCAGCAATGGTGGCTGGAGCTTGGGAATGCAGAGGGAAGTGTGGACAACATTCCTCCACACAGCCCTGCCAGCCCTCAGAGCCCACCAGGCATCAGCTGGGCTGGGCAGGGGGAGCAAGACCCACAGAAACTGTCACCAACTTCATCCACAGCTTCAGAGCAGATTCCCAGAGCCTGCACTGGGAATGGCTCCGTGCACCACTCTGGGCATGGCAATGGTGCTGGGATGAGGGCATGGGAGCAGCCAGAGGGACATCCAGCCCCACACGGGCACTGTTTGCCCTCTAGGGATGCAGAGAGGCACCCCCACTTCCCTCCTGCCCTCTGCTGCCTTCTCGCTTCCACAGCCTTCCCTGTTTTACAGATTTCCTTATTTTATAAACCCAAAAAAGCAAACCCAGCAGCACAAGAGGATTAACAAACAGGCACACCAAAGCAGGAGCTCTGTTTCACCTCCTGATCCGTCACCCCAATAAGCCCTCAGCTGCTCCCACATTCCTCAGGGAGCTGGTGAGGGCAGGAATGACTGGCACAGGATAATTACAGGGCTGAAGATGGAGGTGGTGACTGGGCACAAGGTTCCACAGCTCTCAGGGATGGGAGAATCCCCCCATGGCAATCCTGGGCTGGACCCAGACAACCATCCCACAGGGGAATTTGGAAAACGTCCTCCAAAAATGTTTCCACAGGCCAAAATAGTTTGACACAATTTCAGCCACCACTTGCTTTCTCTGTTCCTTGTCATCTTTCTTCCACTTCTCACAGGGTGGGGGCTGGGAGAAGCTGATCCTCAGAAGAAGACACTAAACTTGGACCACCACCATCCTGGAGGTCCTGGTCACTCTCTGGGGCGTGGGCTCAGGGCTGGCTCAGCTCTGGCTGCCCACAGATGCAGGAACAGGAGCTCCAGGGCCTCTGTGCTGCACAAACCTCATGGTTTGCATCGCTTCAGAAAAGAAACTTTCTTTTTTCTGTTTCAGGATGTGAAAGGAGACCACAAGACCGCGGTCCCATGGCTTCCCCACCCCAGGATGACAGGACACTGCACCAGCAGCAAGCAGATCCAAGTGACACCATTTCAGGAGGGGAAGGCTGGGATCCCTCTCTCAGGGTCCCAGATGCCCTATGGGCACTCGTAGGGCAGTGCTGGGAATGTGTGCTGGGCCAAGGAGACACATCCACACCACCACTGTCACCAAGGAATGTCCCCATCCCCCAGGTCAAAACACCTGGGGTTTGAAATCATCAAATTCCTGAATGGTTTAGGGTGGAAGGGATCTCAACGTTCATCTTGTTCCACTCCCTGCCACGAGCAGGGATACCCCAGGTTGACCCAAGCCCTGCCCAACCTGGCCTTGGACACTTCCAGGGATCCAGGGGCAGCCACAGCTGCTCTGGGCACCCTGTGCCAGGGCCTCACTACCCTCACAGCCAAAAATTCCTTCCTAATATCCAATCTAACCCTGGCCTCCAGCAGTGGAAGCCATTCCCCCTGGTCCAGGCCCCCCATGCACTGCCCACCTCCCAGGGCCCAGGAGGTGGGGGGCAGGTGCAGCAGGGACGGGAGAGCCCCCAGATGTGACCTCCTGTCACTGAGCTCACAGGGTGAGTGACTGCCACCCTGCTGCTGTCATTGTGCTGTTTGCTCCTTGGCTGGGGCTCAGGAAGTGGCACAACAGCAGCAGCAGCCACACAATCAACCCAAAGCACCGTTTAACCGAGCAATTTCCCCGTGGGCTGGGACCCCACCGCAGCTGGGGGAGCAGGAGCAGATCCTGGACTAAAAGAACAGGACTAAAAGCCCTTTTCCTTAATGCTGCAGGCAAGAAATGTCATTTTCTACAAGGAGAATCCGTTTGTCCAGGACTACATGCCACAGAAAATGATTACACAGCTGGGGAGAACACTTTCCCAAGCAAAGCCACCAGCCCTGTGGGATGTGTGGGAGAAGGTCCTGGCCTCACACAGTCCCAGGGGCTCTGCAGCAGCACCAGGAATCACTCATGGATGGCCAGATCTGGTCACCAGCACTCCTCCTGGCAGCTACCCTGCATCTCCTGCTTGTCCTACAAAAGGGAAAAATATCCCTGGAGCACCATGGCTCCTGCAGTTTGTGACTGATACCATGACAAGAAGCTGTCAGTGACTGATGTGGCTGGTGCTGAGCTGGCATCACACGCTGTGCTCGCTCCCAGACCGCGTGCCCTCGATCCAAGTGGAGCTGGAACAGCTCCACTGGCTGCCCCAGCCAGGAGTGAGCAGCCCAGCAGAGCCCCAGAGGCACCAGGGGATGGTGGCACTGCCACTGCTGTCACCAGAGGGACGGGGCAGGGCAGAGCAGCCTCCAGGGCTGTGGGCTGAGCCAGCACAGGAGCACCACGGCTGTCCCAGGAAAATCACGCGTGACCTCCACACCACAGCCCACACAGTTTCCCATGGCTCGGGCTGGTGCTGAAACCATGCCAGAAAATCATCTGCAATTTAAGCATGACTTTAGGCAAACACCTCAAACTCCCAAATGTCTCTGCCTGGGACACTAAACCAGCTCCCACAGCAGCAGCACAGGGAGGTTTCCTGCTCTCTCTTGTGAGGACACAACCAAATCACAGCAAGGTGAGGCACAGGGGGCGTACCCAACTGGGACGTGGTAGATTTGGTGCTGCTGGTTCACACCACAGCCAGCCTGGAGGCAGAGCCAAGTGTGAGTTCTCTTACATAGAGAGCTGGCACAGATTTGGGCTGGCATGGCAGGAGGGACTGCCAGGGACAGGAGTTCTCCAGAGCACCTGCTGTACCACAGAGACCAGGCAGAGCCTGACTCTGTCACAGCCACACTTCTCCAAAGAGCCCATGTTTAATGGAAGTGGCACCACAACACTCTCCAAGGAATCAGGACAAGTCCAACTGGGACACACAGGACAGGTGAGAGAACAGAGAGGTTGGCAAGAGGCAGGATCACCACCTCCCTCGCATCCCATTTTCCATGAGGGCTCCACACCATTTCCGAGTTCAGAGCAGTCTCCTAGTTCAGAGCAGGCAGCTTCTCCAGACATGGTGCAGCTGAGCCCCAGCAGGATCTCAGCCCCTTTCCCAAAGCCCATTTTTCTGCCCAAAAAGCAGCTGTTTCACGTGGTGGCTCTGGGGACAGACGGCCCTGCCCTGTGGCCCTGGTTAGCGGCGGTTTCCTCTCGCAGCTGCAGAGCAGCAGCAGCAGCAGCAGCTGGGTTTTACATCCCCCTCGCCGAGTGCAGCCGGTGACAGGAGGTGACGCAGGGGGTAACACGACCCAGCCCCTCCCACGAGGTCCCTGTCACTCAGGGACAGACAGTCCCAACCTGAGTGGCACAGGCCCAAAGCTGAGGGCGCAGCAGAGGAAGAAAAAGCACAACTTCTTCCCTTTTTCTTCTGAAGAAGAGATCCGAGCCCTGTGCAAAAGGAAGTGCTGATACCACACGCCCTGTAGATAAACCACAGTTATTCCATCAGCTCCAAACCCTTGGGAAAGGCTGCTCCCCTCTGCATCACCCCCACCACCAAGCAGGGTGCTTGAATGTCCCAGTGTGACACCATCCCTTTGTGCTTTGGGACACCATCCCCACCACTGCTGGGATTTGGGCATCTTTTCCTCATTTTTCTGGAGTAAGAGCTTCCACTTGGGAAGCCACGTTGGTATAAACATTCCAGTAAATCCCTTCCTGCAGGCCACTGGGTAATTATGGAGCTCTTTTCATAACAAGGTAACAAATAGCACGTGTGGTTTGACAAATTAGGTTCTCAGGTTAGCTAATCATCGTTGCTGTGCTCGGCAAGCCAGGACAGTGTTTCAGGATGTGGGAAGTTTGCAAGAAATTCTCTTACTGGAGATAAAGGGAGCCTGAACTCGGGGCAAGTGCAGAAAACTCCTGGGAGCCTGCAAACAAAGCTGTTCCAAATCCACCAGCTTCTTAGAGAAAACTCAGCCACAGTAACTCGTGCCTCTGTCACAGACCCAACTTCCACAGCTGCTTCCTCCACAGAAAAGTGAGAATTCCTGCAAAATTCCTCCTCTAAGTCACCACTGAGTTTCAAGAGGCAGAAACACTGACAGCCACAAGGAACCTGCTCACCAGAATAACCTGAAGGTGTCAAACTTTGCACCGGAAAAGCACAGGTGAAAACAGAAGGCAGAACGATTTTGCACAGGCATGTTTTATCTGCGCAGAAACCACCACAACGTTCCAGCCCCAGCTCCTGGAACGAGCCTCCCAGGTGCTCTGGGAATGACACAGGAAGCACAGGATGAATGAACAACCCACCATCTGGAACCCATCTCCCGTGCCAAAGTTTTATTGCCCGTCCAGTCGAGCTGGTCCCGGAGTTTTCCCCTCCCGGCGGTTTCACGCGGTGCCCTCGGAGGGGCTCGGTGAGCGCTCGGCTGCCCGGCAGAGGCACCGGCTCCCGCCCCCGGGCGCTCCGGCTCCATCCCCGCCTCCATCCCCGCCTCCCCGGGCCGCAGGCACGGCCAGCCCACAGCCGTGCTGCCGAAGAGCTGTCACACACCTCGGCTGTTCGCTGCACATCAGTCACAACCACACCGCAGACTGTCCCTCTGTGGTGTCATCCCATCAGATCCTGTGCTCAAAGATCTCACGATGGGAAGTTCTGTCAAGAGATTTTCACAAAGATTACAGATTTTTAAGTGGCCTGGTTTTGTTCAAGAGCTGAGCCTGCACCTTGTGTCATCACAGTATGCAAAGTATTTTCTTCACGCTTCGTCAATTAACCCCAAAATGATCAAAGCAATCCCAGCAGTGGTTGAGTATCACATCTAGAGCCTGGTTTTGGGGAAAGGATGGCACAGCAGAGCCCACGGTGCCAAAAGCAGCACCTGGCATTTTATTTTTATTACTTTGGTGCCTCTAAACTCCAGTTTGGAGATCCCACCCCACCAGTGCATAGAAGCAGAAGTGTGAAGCTCAAAGGTAGTGATGAAGAGGAAGGCTGGCACCTGGAGCACCAAATTTGGGAACAAAGCAGCTCCTTTGTACAGCAGGGCTGTGGTTCCACAGGGTCCCAAATTTCACAGTCTGGAGCTCCACCTCTGGAGTCCTCACGCTGTGCCAAGGGAACAGCAGCTTTGGGAATTCCTGGCAGCAGCTGCTGTGCTTCTGCCATGAATCAGTGGAAGGTGTCCCTGCCCATGGCAGGGGGTGGAATGAGAGGAGCTTTAAGGTCCCTTCCCAAGAACCCAAAGCCTCCCGGATTCTGTGGACTTACCGCCCGCTTCCTGTGGATGCTCACGATGTGGATGTCCTCGCTCCGATACTCCTCGTCGTGCCTATCCAGGGGAATTTTCTCCAGCTCAAAGTCCCTCTGAAGCAGCTGTTCCACAAAGAACAGTTCCACAACCATTCCAGACACTCCCCCCACGCAGCATTTCCCCCTCACTGAAACTGAGTGTGGTGGGTTCAGTGCTGGCCAATCACCAGTGCACTCACGAGGAACCTGAACCCTAGGAACCAGGGCTAACTCCAGCACTCCAGAATACCCCAGAAAAACCTATTTAATCTTGTGGTAAAACACTCCTGGAGGGATTTAAAAGATGTGTGGATGTGGCACTTGGGGACATGGTTTAGTGGTGGCCTTGGCAGTGCTTGGGGATGGTTGAACTTGATGATCTCAAGAGGACTTTTCCAACCTAAATGATTTTGTGAATCCATTATTTTGCTCCTATCCCTAAAATGTTAAGCCAAACCACAGCACCTGCCTGTCTGCCAACCCTCTCAAGTGAAAGGGAGAGGAGAGAAAAAACCAGTCTAAAATCCCCCAGCATCAGCTCTGGGCCGTGCTCAGATTGCCTGGGCTGAACCTGACAAAAAAGGAAATAAATCACAAAACCCTACAGGAATCAGCCAGAAACACCAACCCCTGTTGAGTTTATTGTGGGAGCAGCACCTCAGCAGAGCTGAGCACAGCCCTCCTCACTGCCAGGGCCCCTCAAGAGTGTGAGGCACTAATTATCAAACAGGTGCTTTGATTAATACCTACCAATCCCCTGGAATTCTCACACTTTCCCTTTTTTTTTTTTTTTTTTGGTAATATTACAGTTATTACATATAATCCTGCACAAGAGCTGCTTCTCAGCAGTCACCACAGGTGCAGAGTTAAATCTGCACTGACCATCATCCCCCCACAGCTGTTTTTTTGTGTTGCTTTTCCTCACCTGCACACAAGATACAGCTGAAACATTCAATTAAAACACTTACTAATGAGCTCTCATTACAGAGAAGGAACTTTTTCAGAAGCACCTCTATCAGGTGAGATAAGGAGAGACTTTTGAGTTCTTAAGCAAAACTTTGTATTTTCCCCTCTCCTTATAATGTAACAGCCTAAAAGAAAATATACTTAAAACCTACTTACTTCAAAGTATTTTCTCTCAATTACAGGGTTTTTCCCCATAGTCCTCTGTTCGTAGCAGCACAGGACACAAGTGTCAGGGCCCGTCAGGTCCTTCAGGGTCTTCAGCAACGGCTCCAAAGACTACCCAAAAACAGTTAAACATTTCCCACGTGGATTTCAATTCATTTCACTCTAGCTAAAGTCTTCACCCAAGAGAGAACCTCCCAGGGAATTATTTTTAGTGCTTTAACTGGGACAAGAAGAACATGAGGAAAAAGCTGGGAAGCAGAGGAGAAAAGGGGATTCACAGGATTAGAATCTCCCAGACTGACCAAGAAAACAGAACTGGAATCCAAGTCAGAAACATCCCACGCTGCTGAGTGGGCACTTCCTCCAGGCACACAACAATGAGTGTTCCTCAGTGTGTTTCAAAAGTGAGAGTTTTCTCAATTATTCCTGGAGGATGGCTCAGATCCAGACCACAATGGAGGGAAATGGGACCAACAGGCAGGGACTCAATGCCAGGGGCTGGTAAAGCCATTGGAAGGGCACTGGGACAAGGGGTTTGTCAGGTTACTTCCCTTTTCCTGCAGCTTCCCTCAGCTCTCTGGGCACATCCTACAGAGCTTCAGCTGAGGACACAAGGCAGACTACAACAACCACTCAGCTGTGGCAGGATTTCTCCTCTTTCCTTCTAAAGGAAAGCATGAGGAGAATCCAAACACAGATATAACACTCTTAAATTTCATTTACCAATAATTTCAAACAGTTCACATTTTGCTTCACCATTCCCAATGTTAAAAAAAAAGGGCAGGGGGAATGCACAAACATTAAATTTGGGATTTTTAACATAAAAGTAGAGTCTGGTTCTATGTCAAATGGCCTTGCATCTATTAAAAATGCCCTTTCCAGTTTTGTTCTACATACTCCTATAAACCACATGGACCATGACACGAGCACAATATTTATCTGGACATTTCTCATACTCAACACACTGAACCCACCCCCTTCCCAAGAAACTTTACTGCAGGGGTTTAGCAAAGTCCTCATTTACCTCCTCATAGTAAATGCAATCAGCCATGAGTATATAATCGGGGGGAGGCTGAAATTCCGTTACATCTTCACCCCTAAAAAGAACAAACAAGGAATAAAACAACAAAAAGTGGAAACAAGTTTTATTAATAACACATACTAAAGGACCAAGCATAAAGTTAACTACTGTGTTCACATATTAGGTTTTACTCGCACAGCAGTGTTTTGAAGTCATTTAGCAATTTAAAAGGTCTGTGCAGAATCGCAGAATCCCAGAATGGTGTGGGTGGGAAGGGAAATTAAATCCCATCTCATTCCTCCCCTTGCCATGGGCAGGGACACATTCCACTATCCCAGGCTGCTCCAAGCCCTGTCCAAACTGGCCTTGGGCACTTCCAGGGGCAGCCACAGCTCCTGTGGGCACGCTGTGCCAGGGCCTGCCCACCCTCCCAGCCAGGAATTCCCAATTCCCAACATCCCACCTAAACCCACTCTTTTTCAATCTGTACCCAGAATCCCCGTTAAAGCCGAACAGAGACATTAAATAAAGGCTCATACAAACCATTTCAGTACCTTGGCTCGGACGGACCCTGTGACCAGGTGCTTGTTATTCTCAATATTAACCATCAGCAGCTCCTGCAGCTCCTCCAGGTCTGTGACCGTCACGTTCGCCCTGTAACACACACACGTGCTGAGGGACAACGCGATGGCAGGGGACACTCCGCACAGCCTAGAAAACATGGTTTAAAGGAATAGAAAGGGTCTGAGGGAGAAAACAGCGCCGGGCAGAGACTCCGCTCACCCCAGCGTGGCTGCCATGATGCCGACAGCGCCGGTGCCCGCGCCCAGCTCCAGGACGTGGCGGCGGGCGAGGGGACAGGCGCCGGTCTCCAGGAACTTGGCGAGCACCAGCGCGGCGTCCCACACCACACAGCCCACGCCGCCGGCCGCCCGCTGCTCCAGGCGCAGCGCCGGCCCGGAGCGCCGCTCCAGCTCCCTCACGAAGCCCGCCATGGCCGCGGCTCTGAGGCGGCCCCGCCCCGGCGGGAAATGGCGGGCGGGCCGTGAGGGGACGGCCCCGCCCCGCCCCGGCGGGAAATGGCGGGCGGGCCATGAGGGGACGGCGCTGCCCCGCCCCGGCGGGAAATGGCGGGAGGGCCGTGAGGGGACGGCACTGCCCGTGAGGGGCGGCGGGAGAGGCTGTGAGGGGTGGGAGTTCTCCCGACGGAATTGTTGTGTGTAGTAGGTGTAATTCGCGCCATTTCCAGTGATATAAATGGTTATCATTTACGCCTCTGAAATGTTGTTATATTAAATATGGTTTACTATATAAAATGCTTAGTTTAATGTAAAAACAGCAGCCCCCCCCACACCATATTGGGGTTACACCTAAGCCAAACAATATCTCATTTACAATCTAATACACGTGGCTCGCCCGGAGATGGGCTGTTCCAGGAACTGGTACCGGGACCTGGAGCTGAACGTCCCGGTAACGACTCAGATGGAAATCTCTGCAGACCGCCGGGCTGATACAGCTGAAAGCCACAGTTCTGTAACTTCATCAGCAAGATCGTCCACGCCTGGACTTGGATTGTTTGGACTTGGCCTAGAGAAAAGAACTTTATGAATATGGGGAACTCTGAATGGAAAAAATAGGCGGATGGCTGAAATCCTCGCCCCGGGCGGAAAATTTCCTATAAGAACCGCGGAATCAAAAAAAAATAGTGTGGGTGTCTAGAGGAACCTCTGCTGTGAGGCGTCCTGTCAGTCACTCACTCGGCACTGCCTTTTTCCTTGTGGCTGGCGAGATAGGTTTTAATCATAAATAAAATTATTTTTATTTCATTTTTAATTTGGCTGGACAAATTTTCATTTATAACACCAGTATGATATATGTGATGTTGAATATTTGTTGGAGTATACGCGTTTGTATTAGGAGTCCCCCACACCCTCGCAGGCAAAACCTGGTGTATGTTGAAACCCGATTTACACGTAAAAGGATGTGGCTCTGCTACATGTCTAGAGGGATACGGGGACCCCAGGGGACCCCAGGCGCTGATCATCACATAAACGACCCGAGATGGATATGATTGGCTTTTTGTAAATATTACAATGAATATTATATGTGTAATGTTAGAAAGTGATGCTGTATTAATTATCTTAAGTAGTGTGTTAAATATTCTTTTAGGTTCTAACATAATGTTAAAATAGAGACTATGTATGTAGGAGATACTCGCATCGAGGAACACCTAAATCTTCCAAAGGAGAGAAATTTATGGCTTTTTATCAGAAGAAACTAATTTTTTCAGGCCTTGCTCAGATGCCATGGGAATTAAAGGAAACAGTTGACATACAACAGAGAGAGTTTCTTGTTTTAAATAGAATGTATGCATAACCATGAAGGATATATGAGTATGCAACAAGTGTATTGTTTTAAGGGTGATTCCTTTGTTCACAAGGTATGCTTTTTGTCACTTAGAGTCCGAGAGCATCCAGACGTCCATAATTCTTTGATTTTTATTGTCTTGCAATTGTCCTAACTCTAAACTTTATTACTCTAATTGTATTATTATTATTTTTATAACCATTTTATTATTATTAAATTTTTAAAATTTTAAAAACCAAGTGATTGGCGTTTTTCACAAGGTGAATGCAGCGTTCCTGTAAATTTCATCAAGAGATTCACCAACTCCTGACACTGAATTGTTCTTCCTCATCACCAAAAAAAGAAAATCTTATTAATCTATGGACTCTGAATGGAAGACTGACTGCCGAAATCTTGGCCTCAGGTGGAATTTTCCCTATAAAAACCGCTTGTACCAGGATGGAGGTGTGTGTGCATAGAGGAAAGCCTCTGCTGAGGCTGACTTCTTTGTTGTGCACCCAGGGCCGACACTGGGCTCGGCTCTGTTCTTTCCTTGTGGCTGGCCAGATAGAATTTGATTATAAAATAAATATTTTATTTTTTCATTTTAATTTGGCTGGACAAATTTTCATTTATAACAGAATGATTCTATGGTTCCGGCCTGAGGGAGCACGGAGCCCTCAGGAATTGCTCCCTCCTCCCTCCTGAAGATTTTGTTACAAATCACCCTCACACAACTTACAAAAGCTCTTAACAAACCTACAAGAGAGATCTTAATAAACTTTCAGAAAAGTTTTGATCATCCTACAGAAGTCTTAGTAAGTCTACCAAAAAAAGTCCTAATAAACGTACAAAAAGGCTTTAATAAACTTAAAAAAGGTCTTAATAAATATACAGAACAGTCCTAATTAACCTACAAAAAAGGTCAGTAAATCTATGAAAAAGGTTTTAATAAATCTACAGAAAAGGACTTAGCCTACAAAAAGGTCTTAACAAACCTACAAAAAGGTTTTAATGAACTCACAAAAAAGGTTATTTTCAAGCAACTGAATATGAGTCGATTCTGCACTGACATCTTGAAATGCAAAAGGGTTTAGATTTTTCTCCCCCTTGGATATATGGAAGAAAGTTTTTTTATTACTTTATTTCTTCATTTCATTTAGAGCAATGGGAAGCCTCTTGGTGGTTGGCAGAGTCCCCTTGAGAAGAAGTTTTCTGAGGGAATTGCCTTTCCCCACACAAGCCAACTTCAAACCCAAACTTCACATTTTTTCCCCTCCAGCAGTTTTTTTGTTGTTCTTTTTACCTACCCCTCTAATTATGAAGTAACTGAAATGTTATTTATTGCTGTCTTGGACCATGCTGGTGGGAATCTTAACTGCCTTTACCACTTTCCATGGTCATATTATGATATATTTTACTGTGAAACACTCAAAATGGTTCTGGCATAAGCACTTGTACAGGAAGGCATAAAGCTGACATCTGTATATTCTAAAATCTGGCCAAGAATTTTTTCCTCTTCAACAACACACAAAAATCTGAAACAATATTATTTCTTGTTTAGCAATAGCTGCTGCTGGGGACTTGAAAAGAGTTAATGCAAAGAATCTAAGAAAGAATTCCACTTTTCCAAGTCATCCTCCATTTAATATCTGCATTCCCAGTCCATGCATCTCAAATTTGGGACATCTTGAACCTTTTTTTAGCAAAATTAAGCAGCTCTCCTAGAGAAAGTTCTGCCCCTTGCATGAATGGATTCCAACCTTCTCTTCTTTCACATGGAAGGAGCACGGAGGGAGCAGGCAGCAAAAAAAGACTGTTCAAGAGACAGATGGAAAAATTCATCTTCCCAGGAGAAAACTGGGGGGATCTTGGTATGATCTGTACAGGGCCAGGAGTGGGACTCCTGATGGATCCCTTCCAACTCAGGGGATTTCTAATTAACGTCCCTCTTCAGTCATATCTCCTTTCCAAAAAGGAGAATTTTCCCAATGGAATTCCCAAGACAATGGGAGCAGCTTAGGCAGACTGATGAGAAGCTGGAGTGTGGAAGCCTGGGATGGGCCCAACTCCAGGCAGAAGGAAAACCAAAGTGAGACCAGCAGCATGGAAAATTGGGCCATTCTGTATTGTCAAAAATGCAATTCCCAACCTTGTCCTTGCAAGGAACACGCATTGCTCAAGCTCTTAAAAATTAATACTGGGGTGATTTATTAATCTTGTTAAGAACTCTGATACAAAGCACAGTAAAAGGCCACAAACCAGTAAATAAAATGTGGCTTGTGAAGGCCACTTTATAAATGCTGCTACAGAACTACCAGTAAAACAGACTCACTCTCACTCCAGTTCAAACACGGGCGTTCGACTGGCAAAGAAAACTTCCATTCACTTATCAGTTTAAAAAGTTTAATAAAGCTTTAAGTGTTTGCTGGTTTAAATGCTACCAATTTCCAAAGTGGATTCAGGAGTTAAGTGTAGATCTAAAGGGAGTTATTAGGTCTGGAAGGCAGGACAGTTCCCAAGCCACAGGAAACGCTGCTGGCTGGATCCAATCCCAGGAGTAGCAGACTGTGTTATAGGCCTCGAAGTCAACTTCAATTTATACATGTCATTAGCATATCTGTAAATATACAATATAAACAATTGTACAGGCGCATAGCTTTGTTCTCCACAACAGCAGACAAACTCTTTAGCTTAAGACACCTTTGCCCATCAAAACAAAAAAGGCACATCTGAACAGGATGCACGTGAAGTACTCTGGATCCTCCCCGATACCCAAGACAGGTACTCCTCCTTCATCCTTTCTCCAAGGAACCAAGACCAAACAAATATTTTGGTATTTAGATTTCAACCTATTTTTTTCTTTGTCTTCAGCAGCAAATCAATGGCAATTAAGACATGGCATGAGAATACTCCAGAACAGGAGTTGTCACTGAGGAAACTCAAGGCAAGTGGTCAGAGTTTCTAACCTGTGACACTGTATCTTCGTGTTGTTTGATCATCCCATTGCTGGGTTTCCTTAATTAAAAAAAAGGCCACTAGTGCTCAGAGGCACTATTCCACAGACGCACCTTTTTTTTGGCTCAGTGCAATTAAGTGATGTCAGTTTAAATTCACTTAGTGTAGTTTACAGTGCAAAAGGTCTATTTTGTGTCCTAGCAGAACGGTCGGCACTGAGGATGTGAACCAAGGCAATGCTGCTGCTCACCTGAGGGTAATGCTGTCCAACCACACAGGTTGGAATGTGTGTAGTCTGAATTTTTTCCAATTTAAACCTTTTTTTTTTTTTTTTGATCAGCAGCACTTTAAGAGCATAATTTGTGAAAATACTAAAATACACTGCCTTTTTTTTTTTTTTGAATAAATAAAAAAAAAAAAAAAGGAACTTTACAAACAGTATTCCAGTGTCAATGACTACTATGGCTAAGGTCATTGAGGCGTTTCTGCATTTTCTAGCAAAGACAGTCTGTGCAAAGGAGGGTGGGAGAGCTCCCTTTTGTAAGTCTTTGGTGGCAGTTTTGGTAGCTGGGGGCTGGAGTTGTGCCGGGGCGGCACGGGGGGCACGGGCGGCTGCGCCAGGTTGTTGTGGCTGGCGCTGAGGACGCAGCAGCGGCGCAGCACCCGGGGAGAGGGGGTGCTGGGAGGGGTGCCCGGGGAGCTGGGGCCGGAGCCGGCCTCCCGCAGCCACTCGGGATCCCGGGGGAAGCGTCCCAGCGGCGGCGGCTGCAGGCTCAGGGGGCAGTTGATGAAGTGCTCGGGCGGCCGGAGCGGCACCGGCGGTGGGGTGTCGGGGACGGGGTCCCGGGGGGGCGGAGGAGGAGGGCTGTGCAGGGGCTGCTCCAGGGGGCCGCTGTAAGCAGGAACGCGAGGTTGGATCTTTGGAGGAGGCGGCTGCCGAGGGGGGATTGCTGGAGGATCGTCA